CCCGCCAAGCCGCTGTGCAGCCCCAAACCAGCCACGCCGTCCGTCGCCTGCCGCGTCCGCAATCGACGCCTCGCTGGCCCCCTTCTCCACCCCAAACCCCCTCCAAACACACACACACACACACACACACACTGGAAGACACCAAAAGCCATGCGCACAGTGCAAGACCTCATCCATTGTAAGTATCGTGCGGGCCACCGCCTGCCACCGCCCGCCCCCTTGTCGCCACCCTCCCAAGGAAGCGCCGCGCACCACTCAAAACCTCGTCCGTCGCCACGATCGCGCCGCCCGCCGACAGCGCCGCGATTTCGAAGCCGCCGGGCGCAAACGCCGACTCGTCCCCGACACGGTGGATGCCTTTGGTGTGGTCGTCAGACATGGAGGCGATGCGATCGACGTAGGAACGGTCATGCACCCTGCATGGCGTGCATGCCCGGGTCCGCATGGCGCAAAAGCAGTGAGAGAGCGTCGCGCGGCGGCGCATGGCGACGAGGGGGCGGCCTTGCGCACCGCGTCGCGCGCGCATGGTGCGGCCGTGCCGCTGAGGGCGCTGCCGCGCGCGCCCTGCATGGGGCGGGCCCGCATGGCGCCGCCTCGCGTGGCGCGGCTATGCATGGGCATGGGGGCGAAGTCCTGCGTGTGGCGCGCTCGCCGCACGGCAGGGCCACGCATGGCCATGCCCCTCCCCCGCATGCGGCCCGGGTTTGCATGGGGTGCAGCCCGCGCGCATGCCAGAGCGGCACGGGCATGTGGCCGGCGCCCAGCCCCTGCTAGCGCCAGTCCACCGAGCGCTGGTCGCCGTGCGCTGCATGCGCGTTCAGCAGCCCCCTGGCCGCCAGGATCGACATTCAAGGCCTGCTGCTCGCAAGCCCATGCATGGAAGCCCATGCAAAGGCCCCCGCCCTCATCAGCACGGGCCGCGTCGCACAGACAGTTTCGTGGGTGCAAGGGCTGCTCCCTGCCCGGCCCTGCACTCAGGGCCTGCCCGCACACGCCCCGACTGCGACAGGAGCGACCCCGCCGAGCCGCACCATGCAGCTCCGTGCAGCGCCGCATGGCGCGAGGCCGTGTGTGCAGTTATGCAGCCGCCGCGCGCGCCAGGCGCCCGCCCTAATGGCCTGCCCCGCGAGCCCCCACCCGCCCGGCGCCGCCGGCGCCCGCCCTCGCACCTGGAGAGCTCGTCAATGGTCGCCTGCCGCGGCGCCAGCAGCTTAAGCTGCTCCATGAGCCCGCTGACCGCGATCAGGTTGTGCATGCGCCGCTTGGTCTCGCTGTGCTCGACGTGGCGCGCCGGCTGGATGCGCCGCTTGACACTCCCGAAGTGGCCAGCGTCGTGCCAGAACATAAGCTCGTGGAAGAGGTAGCCCGTCAGGCGCGTGGCGCGGGGCCCGCCCATGATTGCAGGCTTGCAGGAGGCCCCGCAGGTGCCCTCCACAGGTTGCGAGCCCACACAGGCGGTACTAGCCCACTTGCTGATCTGCTCTGGGCTGTCCTCCAAACATAGAATAACCGAATATCTTTACTGCTTCACATATATGGCGGATGCGTGGTAAAGGCACTGATAAAGACCAGCCCGAGAGCGCGGACGACTCGCGGATGCAGAGTTTGGACGCCGCTGTCTGACGTGCAAAAACATTTTACGAACAAGACTTGCCGCGCTCGCGTGCCTGAAGCAACGCGCAGCCCTCATGGGTGCCGGGAGCCCAATGGGTGCCCTGCTGAGCGCGCGCTTTGCTGCTTTGCGCCAGCCGGAGCCAGCAACCAACCATCCGTCGCTGCGCCGAGCAGTGCTTTGCATCATCTCTGAGCTGCTTGCATGTCTGCTTGCATATATGAACATGAAAGCAACAGCCATCGCTGTGGGCAAGGGGATTCGACAGCCGCACAGCCAGTCCGCGACGTCCGAAGCCTGGATGCCCATCCTCGACCCCCCCCCCCCCCCC